CACATACGATCCAATCCCCGTCCCTCACCACCCCCAACACCGACTCCGGATCCGCCGCCTCCGGGCTGACATGCAACACAATTGTCCCGCCTGCCGTCCCGCTCATCCTTCCGTCAGATATCCGTAACATATCTTCTACCCCCTGTAAGGCCAACTTGCGCGGGATCGGAATCATGCCCGCCTCTGGCATGCCCGGGCTATGCAGCCCGATGGGGCCGATGTGTTGGAGGATCAAGACGGAGTCGGGCGTGACGTCCAGGTCCGGAGAATCGATGCGCGCCGCGAGGTCAGCTGGACCACGGAAAACCACAGCTCGGCCGCGGTGTTGCAGGAGGCGTCGGTATTTGGAGGCCGAAGCTTTGATCACGGCGCCACCGAGGGGGCAGAGGTTGGAGATGGAAGGGTCGAAGACGATCAGGCTGGAGGAGGGATAAAGGGGAGACGAGAAAGGGTGAATGATCTGGCTTAATTCGGTACCCAAGGGGAGAGGGCGGAAGGGGATGGAATCGAGTTCCTCCCCCAACGTGCGGCCGGCGACGGTCAGAGCGTTGAGGTGTAGGAGTGGACGCAGCTGGTATAGTAAGGCCAACATGCCGCCTGCGTTGTGGAAGTCGGTCATGTAGTTTGACCCTGAAGGCTTGAGATCGACGAGGAGCGGGGTTTTGCGGCCGATTTCATCGATGGTTTTCAAAGAAATTGTGCCCGCGAGCAAAGGGTGGCGGTTGATGATGGCCATCAGGTGGACGATGGCGTTGGTCGAGCCGCCGATGGCTTGCAGGACCGTAATGGCGTTAAGAAAGGACTCTCGCGTCAGGAGGTCCTGCGGCTTCAGCTGCGACTGTGAAAGCTGCACGGCCAGGGCGCCGGTGTGCTCGGCAACCCGTAAACGGGCGGACGAGACGGCGGGTGCGGTGGCGGAAGGTAGGGAAAGCGGCATCAGACCAAGGGCGACGAGGAGACAGGCCATTGTCGAGGCTGTCCCCATTACGCCGCAGGTCCCGGATGTGGGCGCGAGTTCCTCGTTCAGGGCGGCGATGTCCTCGATATCGAGCGTCCCAGCGCGGAACTTAGCCCAGTTGTTCCGGCAGTCCGTACACGCGCCGACGCGAGTCCCTTGGAAACTACCGGGCATCATGGGGCCGGTTACCAAGTGAATGATGGGCTTGTTTGCGGAAATGCCGCCCATCAACTGAGCTGGCGTTGTTTTGTCACACCCTTTCGTTACCTGTTTGTTAGCTAACCCAAGCATCATCATCATCATCATCATCATCATCAACGGAACACAAAATCCCCCTTCACCCCATCCCCAACAGGTGCCTTTTCATACACAGTAGGTAACATACCTCCAATAAGCACAACCCCATCAACAGGCTGCGCCTTTATCATCTCCTCAGTATCCATACTCATCAGATTCCGCAAATACATGCTCGTCGGGCTCGCAAACGACTCATGCAGACTAATCGTCGGAAAATCCATCGCCAACCCGCCATTAAGCTGGACACCCCGCTTCACCGCGTCCATCAGCTGCGGGATGTTGGCGTGGCACGGGTTGAAGCTCGAGTAGGTGTTCACGATGCCGATGATGGGCCGTGATAAAGCGTCTTCGCTGTAGCCCATGGCTTTGATGAAGAGCTTGCGCATGAAGAGGCTGAAGTGGGCGTCGCCGTAGGAGGTGAGGTTTTGGCGGAGGCCACCGCTGATTGCCCCGTTGGGGTTGAGGGGGTGGAGAGGTCGTAGTCTTTGTTTGTGAGTGTGTTGACTGTGTTGGCTGGTGGTGGTGGTGGTGGTGCTGCTGTTGTTATTGCTGCTACAGTTGTTGATGGTGATGATGAGGCCTCTGAGGGCGAGGGAAGGGAGGTTGAAACCATCTTGAAATGTGAGGGCTTATGCCGAGTTAGTGAGACTGTGCAATTGAAAGTCGAAGGGAATGTAAAAGATGTGATGAGGATAGAGAATGGCTCAGAGTTCTCTTTGTTCGCACATAATGAGGGTGGTGTTTTGTTCGGTAGAGGTAGAGAGGTAGTATGCGGGGCATAGCGTCCCTCCTCAAATCACGTCATTTGGTAGCTCCGATGGTGAAGGTCACTCCTCTTTTGCAACGTCCACGGCACCGAGTAAGATATTTTCTGTGTTCTAACCTTTGCTAAAGGAAATGATTCTGAAATGGACGTTATAGTATCGTGTCGTAGGAGTAAAACTCATGTGTTGGTTATGATTCCGTGGAAGAGGATGAGGAGGGGAATAACGCGGAATGACCAAGATGAGGGGTAATCAACATTAATTTTACACCAATTGGACTTTTCTCTCTGTGATCTGAACACAGTGACCTATCGGCGTTGAATATCCTATACTTTTAATGCTAATCGAAAACTATACTTACTAGTTGACAACCACAAGGAGAACATTCGAGGGCGATCTGTTTGCCGCGTTCGTCGAGGCCGGTGCCTTCTCCTCCAACGCAACCGCTCCAGTCGTCCGAGGCTACCAGATATCAGGTTATCCCACTTCCACGACACCCACTCTTCTCCTACTCCCCCTCCCCCTCCTCCTCCTTTTCCTTCCCCTTCCCTTTCGGACTAACAGCAAACGCACTCCTCGCCCTCAACCTCGGCCCCATCCTCCAAAACACAAACGGCGCCGGCGCCAACAAAACTGCCACACTACCCAAAACCGTCATCGTCCACTTCACGCCAAACCCATGTAACGTGAACAGCGGTCTCGTGCCCATGGCCATCCCGCCCGCAATGATGTACCTCAACATCGTGATAGCCGACAGGGCGCTTGCGGCGTGCGTCCCATAGCTGTCGACAATGTATCCGTAGCTGCTGGTGTACATCGCCATCAGCACCAGCCCGAAGAGGAAACAGGCGCCTAGGACGGACCACATTGGTATTCTTTCCACGTCGGTCCACCCTAGCCAGAAGAGGGCCACCGGTAAAAGGGGGCCGGCTAGGAAGCCCGGGTAGAGGCGGAATTCGGGTTCCAGCGTGGTATCCTTTCTCAAGAGGTGGGCTTTGCGGCGAGCCCAGAGATAAAGACCCGGCACCGCCAGCAGGAAGAATGTGACGCCCGCGGCGATGGCGCCGAAGCAAGCGCCCGTTTTCTCCGTGGAGAGGTGGTAGACGTTTTTGAAGATTTTGTCGAAGCCGGACTGGAAGGTGAACAAGAGGGTATAAAGCAAGATGGAATAGACGCCTAGGACGGTGATGACGGGCTCGGTGTGGATGAACTTGACGGGGAGCGAGAGGCGGGCCCGCAAGCGCTGACCGAAGGATCTCTCTTTGAGGTTGCGAGCGTGCGCAGATACGTAGCGTGGGTCGTTGGTGAGGCGCCGGAGGTGGGCGGCTTTCCAGTCGAGGAGTTTGGGGAGGTAGGTCTCGGGGAGGAACAAGAAAGAGATTAAGAAGGCGGTGCTGGAGATTATAAGCGTGACCCACTCTGTCCAGTGCCATCCGAGTTCGCGCTTGACGGTGATCCAGCCGCCAGCGATGGGGGCGATGACTGGAGCTATGGATATCAATGCCATGTTAGTTACCTAGCTGAGTGGAATCAGTGCTGGGATGGATGGCAGGTTAAAAATAAAAAGGCTTACCTGCAACGTTTGCCCAGGCGATGACAGGAAAAGCAAATGTCCTCCCGACAAAAGTGAACTGGTCCTGTACACTCGACCCGTTGCTGCCCAGGGTACCACTCGCAAAGAGCCCGACAAAGTACCGACATGCCACATGTCCGCCAAATGTCGGCCACAGGGCGGAGCCAAGAACGAAAAAGAGGTAGCAAAATGTCGAGGTGAGGTAGACCGGGTTCCGGCCAAAGGTTTCGGATAGCGGCCCGGCAAAGAGCGCACCCGACCCCATTCCGAACAAGTACATGGCCGTGGAGAGTGTCTCGAGGCCCGCGTCCACGCCGTATTCTGTGGCAGCGGCGGTGTTGGCTATGGACTCGGCGCCGGCTGAGTATCCCTGGCCAAAGATGAGGAAGAAGAGGATGGCGATGTTCTTGCACCGGCTTGCTAGGGGCCAGTTCTTGGGATCGATGGGATCATTGTCGCCGAGGGTCGAGACGATTATGGGTTCTTCTTTGGGGCGTGATTGAGTGTCGTCATCTTCAGTGTTCGTGTCTTCCTAGTCTCCAACGGCTTCTTCTGAGACGTCATCTCCTGTTCTGGAATTCAGGTACAGGCCTGGTAGACGGCCTGATTCGACTTCGGCCTGCGCTTGTTTTGCAATACGTCGGTATTGGATAACCGACCACATTGTTGGGAGAAAGAGCTGGTATTTTGGTAATAAATTGGATGCATCCGCGCCAATTGACAATAGTACATTAGTTGACCGAACTCTCGTCAAGTTGTAAAGATGTTGTGATACGGATTGTCGTAGAGGATATTTGCAGTATTCTTCTTTGCTTGGTGTATGGAAAAACCGCCGCGAAGCCACCCGGAAGCAGTTCATGGAAGATTTTCGTTCTTCATGAATTTTGCCCAACGATCAACAGTGGTCCCAGTTGGAAACCCCTTCTGGTGTAACACAGAGTCAGAAATCGTACCATGAATGCGTTGGGTACTGGAAGTAATGATCAACGTGATTGTTCCTCGCCGAACAGAAAAGGAAAGTGGAATTTGGGGTTCGACGAAGGGTTGCAAATCGAGCAGGAACGTTGAGACAGTTTTTGCTAGTCCTTCCACTACGGTAGGCTGACCTAACCGGACAACTTGAAATTCCACCCTCCTCAATTCGCTTTGCTGAGGGAGGAAGGACCGACTTTGCCGTCGTCCAGAGTTTTGAGCTTCCAGCTCTGCTTCGGCTGACGACCATTCCTGCCAGTTACAGAGAGAGAACCAACAACTGAACCGGAAGTGTGAATGGCAAGAACAGCAACCATTTGCCTTTGAAAACGATGAATGTTTGTGTCAAGTTAGAACTCGAAGCTTGCGCTTGCCAACAAAACATAGGTAACGTGTGTGGTATCCATGGTCTTGAGCCCCTTCAACTTCTTCCCCATTACTCTGTCAACCCAAGCTTAACAATCAAATCCTGTCTCGGCATCTCCAAAACGGCCGTCAGGATCTTGGAATCCGGTGCTCCGTCCTTGCCGTATGGCTTCTGCAACATATCCTTGATCCTGTTGTACTTGTTGCTGAGCTCGGTCGACACGGTCTCGGACAAGTTCTCCTCCAGCCGATGGAGATCGCTTTTCTCCTCCTCGTAGACGTGCGGTTCTAGGTCCACCCAGATGGCCAGCAGGGACGAGTTGAAGCTTTCTTCAGCGGGATCGAACTGTAGCATGTGTCTGAGCTTGGCGTTTATCTGTCGCAGTGGATACATGGTGGTTAGCACGATCCAGTTAGGTACTTGGGAGATCGAGGACAAGGTCCAAGTACTTACACTTTCAAAGTCATCGGACAGCCTCTGGCGTCGCTTGTCGCCGTGCTTTGAAAGGTGCTCCTCGAGTGCCGGTGTTACGACCAGGTCTTCGACGATGAGGTATTGATCAAGCGTCCAGATGAACTTGTTTCGCAGCGAGTGACGATCCTCTGGTTCGGCGCCGCGAATGGCATGATACAGCTCGGTAATAAGCTTGTGGTCGGCTTTGACGGTTTCGGAGATCTTGGTCATCTTGGCGGTAATTGATGTGATGGTATGATACCGGAGAGGATTTGGGTTTCTGGAGAAATGGTTTGAGAAGTTATTCTGAAGGCCGAGTTGGAGATCGCCGACGACGACAAACGGCGGGAGCTTTGATCATGACGTCACTGCATAGTAAGACAAGATAACTCTGTGTTCAAATCTCGAACTTCAACCTGATCAATATTTCTGCCATCCTGGTGCCATACGCTAGGAGTTTAAACATGAAGGGTTCTTGGCAGGTTTCCTTTACTCTATTCAGGATTGAAGTAAGAGGTGGTGGTCTTCCACCGAAGGCATTCAGACCTTGGACGGTACTGGTAGAGGTGTACCTCTACGGGCACCTCTATGAGCGATAAGCCATGCCGATAAGAGCCATTGCAGCCAGTTCCTTGGCGGCGCTGCAGCATTGACTTTGACTCCAAGTATCCCCCTTCGTTTCTGTATCGGGGCATCAACTGTCTTGCTATCAACTAAACATGGTCAGAACATCTTTGACTTCATTTGGCATTTTCAATGCGGCAATGGATTCCTTCGCGATAATATAATGAAACCTCGGCCCCGCTTCGTGACGTTTGGTCTTGGCGCCGTATTACCGTATTGCTTCCGCTGTAACCGCCCCTGGAAGGTTTCCCCCTCTCGGAGTCCAAATCAACCGCCGAGCGGAAACGCATGCAACACTTTGAGATGCGGCGAGGAATCGCCAGCCATGTTGCCCATTGATCGTTGATATACTTACGAATTGTTTTTTTTTTTTTGTGTGGTTTGGCAGGGTCGTCCAACACCTCCAAACATCATTTTCAATCGTGATTTTATACCGACAACAAACGGCGACAATGGCTGGCATTCCACGCGCATTGCGACAGTCAGCGCCGGCACTTCTTATTTCTCGTCACTGGGCGGTATCAACATCTGCCATCTCCAGACCTTCGTTAAAGCTCTCACTGGGAGTTAGGATAATAGCAGGGCACGGTATCCGTAATCTCTCCTACTCCAAGAATTGCCGCTCCCAAGACCTCCCAACAGTCACCCGGGGCGAATCCAAGCTGTATGCCAGCGCCGACGATGCTGTAGCAGATATTCAGAGCGGATCTGTTATCTTGAGTTCTGGCTTTGGTTTGTGCGGTGTAGCAGGTGAGCAGACGACCATATGTTAGCCCAAGTTTCAGCTTCATGTCATGCTAAGATTGCATTACAGAAACCCTCATTGAGGCAATTCGAAAAAGAGGCCCAGAATCTCTCCACTCCCTAACCGCGGTATCCAACAACGCGGGCGCCGAAGGTCGCGGAGGCCTGGCTCTCCTCATCGAGTCTGGCCAGATCGATCGCATGATCATGTCCCATCTAGGATCCAACAAGATTCTCGAAAAGAAGTACCTCACTGGAAAAATCGCTGTTGAGCTATGTCCCCAGGGGACAATAGCCGAGAGGATACGAGCTGCCGGTAGTGGCATTCCGGCCTTCTTTACACCTACTGGCGGGCGCACGTTCATCCAACAAGGCGAGATTCCCGTTCGCCATGACGCCGACGGAAACGTGGTCGAGTACGGCAAGCCCAGGGAAACAAGGATCTTCAACGGCCGACCGTTCCTAATGGAAACCGCTTTACCAGGCGACGTAGCCATCCTGCGCGCATGGAAGGTTGACAAAGCCGGAAACTGCGTCTTCCGCTACACGGCCAAGGGCTTTGCGCCGTTAATGGCTAAGGCCGCAAAGGTGGCCATCGTCGAGGCGGAGAACATTGTTGAGGTTGGCGAGATCGACCCCAACTACGTGGACCTTGCTGGCATTTTCATCGACCGTATCGTACCGGCTACGAAACCATCTCAGGTTGAGGTTCTCAAGACGCGGTCGCCAGAGGATGGTAATGATGGAAAGCAGGCAAAGACGACACCCCAGTCAGGGGGCTCGGATGCGCAGGAACGGAGGAACAGGATCGCTAGGCGTGCGGCGAAGGAGCTGAAGCATGGATCCTATGTCAATCTTGGTGTTGGTATCCCAACGCTGGCTCCAGAGTTTTTGCCGCCTAGACAGCAGGTTTGGATTCAGTCCGAAAACGGCATCCTGGGGATGGGTGCGTACCCCTTGCCCGACGAAGTTGATCCGTGAGTACCCGATCTTCCCCATAACGACTTGTTTTACAGCATACTAACCAATATTTTCAGCGACATCGTCAACGCCGGTAAAGAAAGCGTCACCCTCGTCCCTGGCGCCGCCACCTTTGACAGCTCCGAATCCTTCTCCATGATCCGCGGCGGCCACGTCGACGTCTCCATCCTCGGAGCCCTGCAGGTTAGCGCGGCCGGCGACCTTGCCAACTACATGATTCCCGGCAAGATGTTCAAGGGAATGGGCGGTGCCATGGACCTGGTGTCTAACCCGGACAACACCAAGATCGTGGTGGCTACCGAGCACGTTGCCAAGGACGGGTCGTCCAAGGTGGTGCAGACCTGCAGCTTGCCGTTGACGGGTGCGAGGGTCGTCAGCACCATCATCACCGATCTGTGCGTATTTGAGGTTGACCGCAAAAAGGGCACGCTCACCTTGACGGAGATTGCACCAGGGGTGGATGTGGAGGAAGTAAAGAGAAAGACGGATGCGGCCTTTTCGGTGGCGGATGACTTGAAGACGATGGAGTAATGCGCTCGAAGTAGTCTTTGCAAAAATTTGGGTATCAAGTTGATCTGACATGTTGAAAAGGTTCGCCTATGCTTTTGTCCGCCTGGAATTTTAAGTTCTTACAAAAAGACCCAAAAACATCACAGGGATTGTAGTATAGTGGTCAGTACTTCTCGTTGTGGTTTCTACACAGCGATCCGAGAGGACCCAGGTTCGATTCCTGGCAATCCCACATTTTTTGTCGCATGTCTCATGGCGTTCAGGAGGCGGAAACAAGAACAACCGTCCATACGAGGGTATATTGTGATTTTTTTGCTGTCCGACAACTGGTATGTCGACAAACAAAAGAAGCTTGAGAATCGGACGAACTGTCTGTCAGATTAGGTAATCACCTAGGGCGATGTCAGACTTGGATTTGTTAAGGGTGCCCCGGTATTCGAGATCATGCAAGCCTGAAGGACCCTAACTAGTTAAAATGGATGTTAAAGTTTATATATACTAAAAACAACTGTTCCGTTTCTTCCGCGATGTACCTTCCTCGAAAGACATTCTTGAGGTATTGGAAATAGGAATCTTTATTTTTTGTAAATACGTATGCGAGCTCAGACAGGTCACGGTGTCTTTCAGGGGCATTGCGGATAACACGCACAGCTTCGGCGCATTTTCTAGGTGCCGAAACGGGGTCGTCAACTCCACTGCCTCGGTCATCGCCTGCATTTCCAATTTCCGGGGTAACTGTCCCCGTCTGCCGTCCCTCAACACCAAACCTCAAACCACGGCAGAACGTTATAAACGCGGGGGAAGAAGCGCCAAGCAGCAACCATCACCTCACTTGCCTGCATACAGTAGTTCGTTCCTGAATTGAACTTTCTTTCTTTCGTACAATAAAAGTCTGAGACCTTACCTGCCTTCTCCATCTCAAACCTCCACTTGCCACGTCGACGTCCAAGTCCAGGTCCTCCGGGCATCGCGACGAACCTTCCGACGGCTTAATTTAGAAGAAGATCCTATAAGACTAAACCGCCCCACGGACAGTGACACCGTCGACATTTGCAGCAAAAAGAAAAATCATGTCCAAGCTCTCCCCTTCCCTCAAGGGCCTCATCAACGCGCCCTTTGCGCGCCCCGGCCAGACGCCCGCGCCGCGCAACATTGAGGCCGTCTACACCAAGATCGCCGACGAGGCTCGCGAGAGGAAATACGGCGAGAAGCCGTGGCTTGCGCTTTCTGTATGTGTTTTTTTGTCACTGCTTGGTTCACTTCATGATACGTGATCCCACTAACCATAAACAAACAAAAAACAGGCCGCAGCAACATTCACCCTCAACTCGCCCTCCTCCTTGGAACCTCTGCTCACACTTGCCTCGTCCCGCCTTTCCAACTTATCATCGAACGCCACCTTGGAATCCGCCGAATTCATCCGCGAAATCGGCCTCAAATGCATCTCCTTCAACGGCATCCCGCGCACCATCAACAGTCTCAACGCCTTCCGCTCTTTCCTCTCCTCCGCCCACCCCCAGCTCTCTTCTTCCCTATCTACCACGCCCTCCCGACAAACTACACCCCAAAATATTTCCTCCATGCACGCCCGGGGTCGTCAGCTCTGGGAATCGGTGTATACACCCCTTGATGCAAAACTAGAAGCCAAGCTAGCTGAGGCGCACCCTGACCTACCGGTGCATATCCTTGGCAGCCATTATGGGCCGTTGCTTAGTGACCCCCCTTCTGGGGATAGACATGGGCTGGGAAGTGTGGGACGGAGCTTAACCAGCGTCGTGGCTATTGCGTGTTTGCGGGCGCAGACGGGTGTTGGGCCGCAGGTTTTGAGCCATGTGTTTGGGTTGAGGAAGGCGGTGGAGCAGGGGGGCGCATGTTCAGGAGTTTGCAGCTTCTACTTCTGGTAATGGTAAAGGGGAAGAGGCGGAGGGCATCGAGAGATTGGCGAGTGATGAAGGGTGCGAGTGGATTTTGAAGAGCGTGGATGCGATTAGTGCGGCGATGGCGCAGGATAACGCGGCGGGAGGGGCCGGGGGAGGAGGGTTTGCGACGCCCATGACGGGGACGGGGATGGGGACGGGGAGGAAGAGGGAGAGTAAGCTTTGAGAATTGAATGCTACTGACTTGACCTTTCTTTTTTTGACTGCTGCTCGATTAGAATGATACTCGCCAAGTTCCCTTCCATCCATGGCTTCTTATTCAGGTCTGATCATTCCCTTCAAAATCACACTTTTTGGTTTCTTTGTACATGGCGCCCCCTTCCTTCCTCCCCCCCTCTCACAAGAACAGCACATCACATCACGTCACACCTTCCATTCATCTATCCTCTACCACCGAAATAAACTCCGAAACAGGAAAGAAGAATTTAACATCTTCATTTCTATTATATTCGATACTTGTTTTCATCGCATCAAAAACGCAAAAAGCCAAGTCGCCCGAGTACGCTTGTCGAACTAACAACAACAACAATACGAAAACCGCCACGCTAAATTATTCATCAACGTAACCCCTGCGCTATGGGACCACGAGATCACAAGGTCCCTCGTTGTGGTAAGAGGGGCTAGGAACGGGACCTTGTATAGTGCCTGCCAGCTGTCACATCTCAATCGCCTCCGATCAGCATCAGAAGGGTTGGTTGTTTTGATGGCATGTTATGCCTTTTTCAACTTCAGAGGTATGTAGCTACAGGACCTAAAAGAACGAAAACCCGACAAAGACTAATAACAATGACAATCTGATGTCCTTTCCTTCCTCCCTTCGAAAACTGCGTGACACACATCATTCATAACCGTTATACATAACCCATCACTGACGTGACATGCCTAGGAGACTTCTTCACCAAGCCACCGAGAGGACGACATACGTATTTCCTATCTCCCATCGATAGATACCCTTACACTCCCTCTCCACCAACTGGAGTCACGATATTGGGCTTGTAAGTCCGTCTCTTGAGAGCCTTCCAAGCCTCGACAATGGCCACATAAACAACCACACAAGCAGCAACGACGCCCCACTCCCACGTGATGGCATTATGCTTAAAGACCACGTGGTTGATAACCGGGATGTAGATGACAGGGAAACAAATCACGAAGCCGGCTGACACGGCGCCAAACAGGAACTTGTTCTGCCAAACCGTCCTGAAGACGGACAGTGGGCCCGAGTACTTCTCTGGATGCATGTTGAACAGCGACCGGGTAAAGTGCTTGCACTCCCACGCCGTGACAAGTAGTAGGAAGGTTAGCGTAGCGAACGTGGTCGCTCTCGCCCTGAATGCCACGCCGCATTCCGAAGACCAGTCCTCGTTACAGCCCTCGCCGAGCCCGTCAGCGCCTGACATGCCGTATGCCACGCTGGTGAAGGCCGCCAGACAGAGTCCGCCCATGGCGGTGCCGTAGACGAACTTGTCAATGATCAGCTCGCGCGTAAAGATGCCGACTTGGAGGTCGTGCGGAGGGCGCTGCATCACGTCCGGCTGGGCATCTTCGAGGCCGAGACCAAGGGCGAGGAAAGAGGAGGTGACCAGGTTGGCCCAGAGGATTTCGAGCGGGGAGAGCGGGAACACGGAGACGCCGGCATTGTCTTTGAACGAAAGGCCAATGAGGAGCAGAATGACCTGGGCGATATTGGAGATGAGGAGGTGTAGAAGGAACTAGAAGAGTTGCGATTGTTAGCCTTGACGCTTCCCGTCCGCTTGCTTGATCAGGTACGTACCTTTTGAATGTTATCAAAGAGCCTTCTTCCCTCTTCGATGGCGGTAACAATGGAGGCAAAGTTGTCATCTGTAAGAACCATATCCGCCGCCTCTTTGGCGACATCACTACCGCTCAGGCCCATGGCAATGCCCACGTCCGACTTCTTGAGGGCGGGGGAGTCGTTGACGCCATCACCAGTCATGACGCAAAATGCCTTTCTCCGATGCATGGCTTCGACCATTCTAACCTTTGTTGACGGGCTGCATCTCGCAAGCACCAAGGGCAAACTTTCCAGAGAGTCAATTTCGGCATCTGTGAGACTGTCAAAAGCGCTGGCCACCATCACCTGGGTCCCATCAGTTTGTCTGCTCGGCTTGATGATACCAATCTCGCAGGCAATCGCCGTTGCAGTCTTGACGTGGTCGCCGGTTACCATGTGGACCGTGATACCAGCTGCTTGACACTTCTGGACTGCTGCAGCGGACTCGAGACGGGGGGGGTCATAATACCAGCCAAGCCAAGGAAAGTCAAGTGCCTTTCAATGGTGGACCTTTCGGGAATATTTGACGGCGACGCTTTCTCTTTGTCAGGAGTAGCAGAAGTGTCATCCCGAGTTTGAACCTGAAAGAGGGCTCCATCGACGGAACGCTTGGCAACACAAAGGACACGCAGACCTTGGGCAGCAAGGGCTTCCGCCTTAGCTACGACTTCAATCTTCTGCTCGTCGGAAGCGTCAAGCAAAGGCAGCAGAGCTTCGAGCGCACCCTTGGTGTAAGCGTAAGCAGCACCAGAAGATCCGCTCTCCGTGTTTGTGTAAACGACCGTCATCCTCTTGCAGGATGAATCAAAGGGGTACTCGGCGAGTAGCAGCTGCTGCTGCCGAGACTGTCCATCATCAGCAGCCAAGACACTTGGCTTTCCCATACCAAAACGCATCGCAAACGTCTGCAACGCAATCTCGGTGGGCTCACCGATAGCCGTATAAGTCTCGGCCTTGGTAACAGCCGAGTTGTTGCAGAGCGCAATGCTCTCCAGAAATTCTTTGAGATTCTCTCCCTTTTTCGCCAATGGCCTCTTCAGGGTCTTTCATGCCTTGATCAGCGAGGCTAAAGACTTCCTCTCCGATCTTGACCGACCCGCTGGTAGGATCAAAAGGATGCGTCGTCCCCTGGACTTCGACCTCGGTACCATCAACCAGCCAGACCTTTCTGGTCACCATCTTTCCCTGCGTCAGCGTTCCCGTCTTGTCCGAGCAGATGTTGGTGACCCCGCCCACCGCCTCAAGTGCGGCTAGCTTGCGGATAACCACGTTTCCGCGGGCCATGGCATGAGTGCCGAGCGCGGTGGCGATGGTCAACACAGCAATGAGAGACTCAGGGATGACGGCCACGGCGACGCAGATACCATAGATGAGAACCTCGTCCGTGACGTCGAACTTGCTGACCGAGAAAAACGATGATGGCCAACAAAATGGCCAGGGCAAACAGCAGCAGCGCAAACTTGCTCAGCGTGACCTGCAGCGGAGTGCCGTCGAGGCCGAGGAGGACGCGCATGCCGTTTCGGGCACGGACGAGCAGCGAGCGGAGTGCTCCCATTTCTTCTTTGTCGACGTGCTTCTTGTTGCGCCCGCCATTGCTATCGCGCAACAGGCCCGCGATTTTGCCTACTTCGGTGCCCATGCCCGTGGAGACAACGATGCCAGTGGCGCGCCCGCGAGTAATGGTGCTAGCTGAGTAGACCATGTTAGAGCGGTCACCGAGAGGGACCTCGCGGTCCCGGGCCATGACCACCTCAGCATGCTTGCTGACGGGCAGCGATTCGCCGGTCAACAGGGCCTCATCGGTAGAGAGGTTGATGCTGGTGGCGAGACGGAGGTCGGCGGGGACGACATCGCCGACATTGAGGCGGACAATGTCACCTGGCACGAGTGCCTCGGCTTTGATGGTAGTGGTGGCCCCGGACCGGATCACTTTGCAGGTGGGCGCCGACAGGGCGTACAAAGCCTGGATGGTTTGCTCGGCGCGATAGTCCTGCAGGAAGCTGATGAGGTACGATTAGCGTCTCAATAAGAATGGGTCAACAAGAAGCAGTATTTGATCTTACCCGACTATGATGTTGAGAAGAATGACTGCAGCAATGACACCGCCTTCGATATAGTCACTGATGGCAAAAGACAGGACCATGGTGATAACGAGGACAAGAGTCAAGCTGTTGGAGACTTGTCTCATGAGAATCGTCCAAAGGGATAAACCCTTGGCACCCTCAACCTTGTTGGGGCCATGGTGCTGTAGACGACGGGCAGCTTCATTGCTGTCGATTCCATTTCTATATGACGAGATAAGTGACCAAACTTTGAGTGTAGAGACGTTTCTGACGGATATAAGACAACAAAGGGGATTTACTCAGGGTTGGTGTTGAGAAGAGCAGAGACGTCCGGCACCGAAAGGGTGTGGGCCGCTTCGGGGGTAAAGGACGGGAGACGGCTGGGTCCGGCTCCGGTTCCGGTTTCGGTAGTAGTAGTGGTGGCGGTGGTATCTCCCGACGCACGGTTGACAGTGGCGTCGTCGTCGGCCCCGCCTTCACATTCTTCTCCGATGATGGTCCCAGTGTTGAGCGTAGTCAAGGTCGGGGACCGTGTGGTTGTTTTGGACGTTGTTGGACTTTTGAAGCCACATATAGGAGGCTCCGTCTGGCCCTCGACGTCAAGTTCGATCTCTGTCCCCATTCAATATCTTGTGTATGTTCTCGCCGGTTGAACTTCAGCGAAGTTTGATGATGTAAGTGGAAAGAAATAAGAAGAAGGGGGAAAGGGAAGGAAGGGGGAAACCGAGAACAGGCCGTCTTCTTGTGTGACGGGATATGCGGGGGGCTTTTATCAACAATGGGGAAGTAACCACCCACCAACCAACAAAGCAAACATACAACACACGAGAAGGAAGGTACCTGGCGACGCCGAGAACAGAGCTTCACTGTTGATCCGCCTATTCGTGTCCATACATGGAAGGTATATCGGAAGGGTATCATCCACATCTCCTCTCCTCTTCTTCCACTGTTTGGACGGCCTCCTGCTTTTCCGTCTGAACCAAACAGTCCTCTCCGCATCAGATGCCGCCCGCCTCCCTGCTTCAAACAAGACAACACAACATTGCCGCTGTTGTTGTTTCTAGGTACAGCCCGACAGCCAGCGTGCCATACAATGTCCACACATTGCTCCCTCTTGGCTCTCTCGGCATCTTGGTATACCAGCCAAGAACCTACCAAGCTCTACCAAGCATCCTACCAAGCTATCCAAGTGCTGGGGAATACGTACGCAGTTCCCTGAACTTCCTGGTCAGCGTGGTCAGTTGAGGGGGCGGGTTGAGCCTATCGTGACCTACCAGGACCTGTGGTGGCCAGTAAAGTGCCATCGCCGAGCCTCTTGCCCAGTGATCAAGGGCGGGGTGCTGTGGCTATGCCTCTTCCAGAATCCTTGGCGGCATGCCAAATGTGCCCGGGGGGAAGTCAAAGTGCTGGAATACCCCTGTTTTATCGCTGACTGACACCGACAAAGTCATGTCACCTGGTCTCTTTTTTAGAAATCTTGAGCTTCCTTTCCCACACCTACAGTTCCATGATAGGGAATACGACCTCAGATAGTTAACATGGCGGACGTACGAACGAACATATCGTTTCGCTCCGCTACGTGAGATCTTTGGCGGACGGACCGAAAGACGGTTTCCCGGTCGGAGTCGGCTTTCTGGCCGAAGTTATTCAGGCTCCAGATGGTCTAGTCTTCCGAAAGCTCAATTCCGGTCCGGTATGCTCTGTCAACGGGAGCTGGACGGCCATGGCCGGACGATCGGTGCTGTGGTAACTCCGGGATTAACACCGCCGCTCCGCTCGGATTCGGAAGGCGTTTCTTTCTTTCCTTTGGCTCGGAGCGGGGAGCTGTTCTTCCCCCTCCATCATGCAACCAACATGATCTGCTTTTCATATGCTGTTGGCTTCTTCAAAAGACACACAGACAATCCATCCAGTTACCAACCTTCCCAAGCACCCCTTCTTCCCCCCCGATGCAACCATCGACACCAACGAACTTCCAAAACAGAAAAAGGAAGCATTCTCATCCCCGCAATGTGATAACGTCCCTAACCCTCGATCAACATTTCCAACTTCTGGCATCAAGCGGTCCATTTCGGTACAACGATTCAACGAATGCTGAAGTTCTCGGAACAAACGTACCTACAAAACCCAACTCAAGGCGGACAGACGGTTGGTTGCCAAAGAGAAACCAACCTTCCGTGGTTCCGCCCCCCAATGCACAAAGCCGATGTGGACGTCCGTTGACATGCCAAACGTGAGACGCTCAGTTTTGGGATGGCTGGAAAAGAGTGGCACTCGTCAACCACTGAACAAACGAGCGAAAAAAAAGGGAGAGAGAGAGAAGTGACTACAAACCCTCATGAGAACAGAAGTCAGACAAGCGTTCAACTACTTCAGTTTCCGTAACTTACTCCACGGCCCACGCCAGTGGGTCACCCCTAGCTGGGCTTGGGCCCGCCGTCCTTCAGGGGTAGAGGATCACAAACCAAACAAACAACAATTCCGAGTGGAACCAGGACTGCCAGGTTACCACGACAACCGCAACATCGCGAGTCAATATCGATGGTATGTGTCAATGACGTGGTCTCCCAAAGGCAGAATCTCCTTGATACTTGACGCTTAATATCTCTTCGTATCGTCTGAATCATTCATCTAAAACATTAATCTCTACGTGCCTCCTCCTCAATCACATGTACCTGACCCTAGAGTTATCTATCCTCCCAACCTGCGTCTCCGCCCCATCCAGTTCCCAATGGTGGTTGTTATCCGTCGGCAGCTCTTCCGGCGCAACATGTAACTCAGCCGGCTTCTCAACGGTAGCCAGCTCCTTGTTTGCTGGAGGAAACGCACGGACTGGGTGCTGCTCTGCGTCTCCGTCTCCTCCGACAACACTATACTCAGTGTCGAGTTCTGATCCCGTCCTGTTTTTCTTCGATTTTCTCATAAAATAGAACAGTAATCCCCCTAGGATTGCTAGACCGAATACACCGGCTACGACGCCGCCGGCGATCGCACCGGCGTTGCTGGATTTTTTGCCACCGGTTTGCGTATCCCCAGAACCAGAAGATGGTGAAGTGCTGGTGTTAGGTGTGGTTGGAGTGTCCGAGTCGTCGGTTGGAGAAGGGTTGAGGAACATGGTCTTGACTTTGTTGGAGGACCAGGAGACGGCCGCCATATTTCTGTTGATTTTTCGTTAGTATCATTCAACGCAAAAAACTGACATTGTACACTAGGGAAAAAAACAGGACTACTCACTCTGCCTTGTTGTACCAGTCCCGAACAACACCGGGCGACTCGTAATCGTCCATATCCGCATCGTAACTGCCGTCCTTGGACCACGTCAAAGCAGTCATGTCAAAGATCCCGAGGCCCTGTGGGAAAGAATCCGCGCTCGTCCACCTCGCCTTGATCTCTTTCCCGCCAATGCTCAGCATCTGTCGTTTTCCTTTGCCCACGAGGACACAGGCGGGACCGGCCCGCTTCTCTTGAGAGCTATCCGCGGCCTTGAACCACACGAAGCCGGGAAGGCTCAGGATGTAAACGTCGTTATACGACTCCTCGGTCTTTGAGTCGACACCGCCGTACATGAATCTGCAATGGAGCACCAGATGTTAGCTTGCTAAACAATTCCCTCCTAAGACACGAAAAAAATAAGAGGATAACCGAAAGTTTTCCTCCTCGGCGGGCGGGCAATAGTACGCACATTTCATAGGTGCCGTTGCGGCCTTCGACACCAACCGCACAAAACCTCTCCCTGCTACTCGGCCTCTCCCCCGTCGTCGTCTGCCAGTACCACTCCCTGCTGACGGGATCAAAGAAGGTAACATTGTCGAACCCCATGACAAAATCCGGCTGGTTATCCTTCGTAGTAGCCGGCACCGCAAACACGCTTCCACCCAGGATGAACACCAACCCATTATTTTTCTCTTCCTCCCCAACGTTACCAAAACTCGGCACAAACACCCCCGCGCCGCCTCTAAGGGACCCGTTCCCTGTCGTGAACCCCACCGCCGTCTCGTTCCTCCACTCCTTGCGGTTCATGTCATACACCACCATGCCCGAGATATGGTCACTCTTGGGATTCGACGGGTCCGTCCACGCCGAAGCCGTTCCTCCCACGCTAAACCCGAGACCGCCACCACCATTACTTCCTCCAGTGGTAGCCACAAACGCCGCCTGCTCCGTCAGCCGCAACGTCCTCAGCGGCGCGGGACTCGTAGGCACGGGCGTCTCGATCTCCCATTTCCCCGTTCCATCGTCTCCATCTCCATCAACGACAAACTTCCATATCCCGCTCTTATCCAGGTTCTTAACGTTGATCCCGTACGAAGCGCCGCCGCCGAAAATGTAGAACCCTTTGCCGTCGGGCGAGGGCCACAAGCACTCGCCGTTGAGGGCGTAGGGACCTTTGTTCCCGGAAACGTCTTTGCGGGCGGCGATCTTAATCTCGACGGAGGAGGCTTTCCAGCTCGAAGAAAGGTCGATGGAGAGCGTGGCGTTGTTGCCGTTGGAGGCGCGGGCGGAGGAGGGGGGAGGGGATTTGGTGACGGAATCGAGTTGCGAAAGTTCGCCGCCGTCTATGTAGACGTGGTTACCGACGACGGCCGCTGAATAGAAGATTAGTGGATTGTAAAAAAGGGGGGTTGAGGAGGGGACTGGATGATTAGGTGGGTTTAACCTCTGGCATTGACTCTGCGCAAGAAATCTTCAGGTGTTGGGGAATCTAATAATTCGGCGTTGACAGGTGTGATGCCGGTGGTCGAGAACAAGAGACCGAACATCCCCAAAAGCATCATGGCCGGGATTGACCTTCGTCCTCGTCGTCGCGGTGAAAGTCCCATTTTGTGAACTCAACTGCTACACTGCCGCGCGCAACCTGAACAGGTAAGGTACTTTATCTCCTAACCAACAAAAGCGGGTGTTTATTTCGAAAAGATCAAAAGGTCAAAAAGTCAACGATCAAAAAGCACGCTAGACTAGACAGTCTGACGTGGAGCTGGAGCCCCGGGGGCTTGGAACTAGTGGCTCCGGCGTTGCAGTCTGCAGATGCCAATTTTAAATTCTTGGTGGTCCTAAATCCTACCATGACTCCCACACAAAGAACGGCCACAGTCAACACCTCAGTAGGTACCAGCAATTTCAAACCACCATTTCTGACACCGGGCCTCTAACGGGAATGGCCTATCGCTGTCACTTCCAGCTGAAGCCATACAATACAAGCCCCCTGGAAGCTGGAAATATTACTTTCCAGCCCCAGGTTTAACTGCGCCCTATAGGTAGGTATGGCTAAGGTTTATTCGCTGACGCCTGTGCCGCTTCGCTTCGCTTACACCTAACAGGTAGTTGCGCCTAATGATCGCCAATAGGTGCTGATGCCGGTGGTTGTTTTAACCAATAGCACTCGATATCGCACCTACCATTTAGGTATCAAGAGTCCGAGGAAGCTAGGGCTGGAGTGCCAGGAGTGCGAAAGAGAGCCAGAGGGCTGATGGTGAAACGCTAGAGTTAGAGTTTTGCAACGGTACGGTTCGGCCTTCGAGTTCGTCTAGATTCCGGTCTGCCGGTCTATGTGTATGTGCTAGACAGGGCAGTTGTGAGACAGTTGCCAAACGCGGACATATTATTCTTCAGTCAGACAACAATCAATATCTGACGTCATGGAAGGGCTGCTTAAGATTGGTACCGACAGGAACTTGACACCTACCTCGGACGGGTAGCAACGTGGTCTAATTTGAGTTCGGAAACAGTACACTAGTTTCGATGGCATGGGACGTGAAATAGAGCGGGAAGAAAATAGCACGCAAAATCATCAGCACGAAGGAATATCGAACTGCAAAGGGTATCAAATATGTAGTACTTCAACATTTGTTCATTAGATTCTGAGTCGAGGACGCTTCAAGCCAGTTTTTTTGCCAGCCGACGTTCAATCACACGACCTCAAGCATTATTAGTCTCTTTTTTGATCAGCATCAGGGGTATCATGGTCCCACACTCGTTCAATCGACCTTCCCATCTCTTCTTACACATTACTCATGTACGTCAACCTCTCTTCATAAGACACATCATCGTCTGCTCTTCACAGCCTCTCTTACGTTTACCTTCCGTCGTAAAGCATGCCCGCAACAGCCGCGGAGGTCAATGTAGACAGAATGCCGGAGAAAAGAGCCGACATGGCGACCTTGGAGACATCACCAGCACGTCCAGGAGCGAGCTGAGAAAGCACACCAATCTGGGTACCAAGAGATCCAATGTTGCCGAAACCCTATCATTCACAGTCAGTACTTTGCTCAAACCAACCCAAAAGAGAGAAAAAGACTTACGCAAACGGCATAGGTAGCAATGAGCTGAGAGCGAGGGCTCATGCTCTTGTAGGGCTCCTCGTTGGTGAGCTTGTTGAAGGCGAAGAATTCGTTGATGATGATCTTCGATCCAATCAGTTCGCCAACAGGAAGGAGATCCTTCTCAGGAACACCCAAAAGCCAAGCGACAGGATACATGAGATATCCTAGAATAAGCTCCAGCGAGAGAATAGGGTGCTTGTCGTCCTGGCCCATCAAGCCCCAGTACTTGCCCCACCAACCGAGAAGGCCGTTGACGAAAGCAACAATGGCAATGATACAGAGGAGAGTGGCGACGATCATGCCAGCAATCTTGATACCAAGCCAGGCACCATTGGCAAAAGCGTGAAGGGCGTTGGCGGCCTTGTGCTCATCGTCCTCGGGAACCACAACGCGGCCAGAGGTCAGGGTCTCCTCCGTCTCGGGGTAACGCATCTTGGAAACAGCCAAGGAAGCCGGGATAGACATGATGCAGCTGGAGACGAGGGCTTGGGCGTTAAGACCAAGACCGATGTAAGCAACCAGGACAGAGCCAGCAATGGTGGCAAAACCGCAAGTCATGACCTGGTGAATTTCGGCCAGAGTCAAGTGAGGCACGAAAGGACGGATCAACATGGCCGACTCGCCCTGGCCAATGAACGGGTGGCAGCAGCGACGACGGCTTCGGCACCCGAGACGCGGAGGGTCCAGAAGAAGAAGACGGCAAATTTGCCAATGAACCACTGGATGAAACCCAGGTGGTAGCAGAGCTGGACAAGGGCGACGAAGAAGATGATGGGAGGGACAACACCGGTAAAGAACCAGGGAAGGTTGGGAACCGTGTCGTCAGTCAAGAAGATGACACCCGCATTGGCGAAACCGAGCAGAGTGCGGGCCATCTCGGAAATGAAGCTGAAGATGTCATAACCAGCCTTGGTCTTGAGCACAAAGACAGCGATGACGAACTGGGTGAGCATACCACCAATGACGGTGTGCCAGGGAATCTTCCTCCAATTGCGAGAAGTGAGGGTGAGGAGGCCGATCATGACGAAGAGGCCGAAGATGGGGATGGCCCGCATGGCGCGAGTGTTCTCGCCGACCTCTTCAGGGATCATGCTGCCGAGGAGGAAGACACCGACTGTACCAAGGGCAGCAAGCGGCTGATGGAGCTTATCAGGGATCAAAGCATACCCCCTATGGACTGTGTGCTGCCAGACCATCCTAGCCGGGCGCATAACGATGCTAGTAGGCAGGTAGCAGAAGATGATTCGCGCGCAGATGGCGATATAGACGAGGGTCGGCTTCAGCCATCCAAGATGGTCATGACGGTGATGGATAAGAGGGCCGTAGATCCACCATCTAAAGAAGACCAAACACCTTGTCAGTGATCCATTCTCAGGCGTTTTCAGGAAACACCACACTTGAAAAGGCAGGAATACGAACACCGTAAAAAGCACCCAGATAGCAGCGTGGATGTAAGGCCTGGCGTAACCATAGAACCAGGACCAGCTGTACCGCCTAGCAGGTTCCTGCTCTTCGCCATCGATGGAACCAACGTGGTCTTGGCTCTCGGTGTCGACATATTGGCCGGTGGGGATGGTGGTCTTGAGATCGGAGTCGGCACTCGAGATGGCGGGCTTCTCCACGACCACGTCGGTGGTGTTGCTGTGAGCAGTCATGATGTCGACTACCGGATTGTGGCTAACGTCGTGGTACTGGGGTTGAATCTTGTCCGAGTCGGCGTGCCCTCTGTTGTCACCGGATGACATATAGGTGTATGTCGTGAGGCGAAAAGGTGGTGGAGATCCGGCTAGAGCTCCAAGACGACCTTTTGAGACCCAGGGAAGGAGGGCTTGTCGAGACGTTGAGTCTGGCTTTTGGTCTGAGGAAGAGGTAGAAGAAGGTGGGTGCCGAGAGGTGGCAAGCTGGGGTGGTGCAAACTTTAATACCCTCTCCCCGGACCTTTGGGGATCTGTGGTATCAGGGTATCAATACCAGTGTAGCTCTAGGAGAGTGGTAGTAGCCGGAGGAGTGAGGTATGTAAGTGCGGTGAAGATACCGGCTGGCCAGGTGGTTATCAAAAGTCTGGTGCGTTCCCAGAAAAACTGCATGGAGAGGTGGGGTTAGTCCAGGGGCGCACCGATGGAGGGGGGACGAGGGACGGCAGCCAGGGTTTGTGAGGTTTGTAGAAGTAGATGTAGGTGGGTGTAGTGTATGTGTAAAATGCAATGTAAAGGTATGTAGGTACTTGGCTGAGCTTGGATAGAGATGAGATATAGTCAGGATAGGGAAAGGCACAAATGCCCACAAGACCGATAAAAAGAAGGCAAGACAAAAAAAAAAAAAAAAAACCCGACGAACCGTTCTGGGCGTTGTGCTGTTCCAGATCTATTACGACAAGCCCAGGTCCAAATGGAAGTCACCAACGGGAGGAGAAGGCTCGGCGTCACCGCTAGACAGCCACCTGTGTAATCCACCTCCCTACTGCGTAAGTAGTGTCCGGCTTGGATGCGACATGGATGAGACTTTGTCGGCTTGTACCTCCATAGGTTGGGGTAGAGCTTTGGGATAGCAGGTTGAGGCTGGAAAAGGTACTTGCTTGCCGCCGCCGTTGTGATTTCACTCGAGGAACTTCATGCTCGTGTCTTTCTCCAAATCGGGGAGAACATCCTCTTTGCAGAAGGAGAAAAAAAAGAAGCCTCCTTCTTGGCCTTCAACCATTCATTTGCCCTTTGCCGGTCCTGTCCTTGCCACTCCATGTCCTGACCAGTCCAAGTGAAGTGGGTGAAATTCTGACTTGTGTCCGGACTCGAGTGCTCGACCATGCCAAATCGGGCTACTTGCTGACCAATTGACCAATCACAGACCGTCAATCTGCCTCAAGAGGCAAAAAGAAGCTGGGACCAGCCGGTCGATACTGAGGAAGGAGCACACCCAAAAGTCAACCAAAACTCAAAAGCCGTGGAAGTCGCAAAGCTCTCTCGCATACTCGGCACCTTGGCGAGATCTGCCCCTCCACTTCTCGACAATCGCCGCCCTTAAAAAAATGCGGATAGGACAAGGCCAGGACGAAGGCTGAGTGGTTGGATGTCGGATGCACCATTGGGCGTCCGTTGCAACGCTATTCCACACTCATGTCCACCCTCCGGCGACGGGCCAAGACCAACACACCTTGCTTTCATCTCACCTTCTTCTTTGGGATTTGTGTCCATGTCCATGCGTTGGCCCGGGGAAGCAGGCATCGCGGGCGGAAGCCTGGCAGGTCATCACAACCTCAAGGTCGAGGCCAACCAGCAAAAAGGAGATCCCTCCCCGAACACCGACCATTTGGGGATTCAAGTCCAGTTTGATCGCGATCACCTGCTTTCCCCAGGTTTGAAGTGACCTATTGCTGTGGAGGTGGCGGCATCATGACTTGCCCAACCCCAGATAGAAACAAGAACAGAAGCCATCAAAATGCGGGGTTAGCGGACGGTTTGTGATTGTGTTAAGTGCTGAGGCGCACGACAAGAAGGCGGAAATAACTTCCATTGCGGCGGACAGCGACATCGTGGCGATGGCTTGCCCTGTTCAACTCTACCTGCATGACATGTATATACCTCGCCAGACCTCCCTCGTCTACGCAGTTGGGTATCACGGCGTCTTGGTCTTACCACCACCCCTCTCTAGGGAATCTTCTCCCGTACCCTGAAGCTTATCATGGATGCCTCGCATGCTCGCCAACGAGGCAGTCGCATCGGTATCTATAGCAGAGCGTCTTATCAGATAGGAACTTCTCAGGGCGGCGTAGAATGCATGCCATCCACATGCCAAACGACCCCCAATCTTTTGAGATTGATGAATGGTACTGTTAGACCTGCACATAACGATCAAGTGGGTTTCTGGAGGTTTGATCGTTATACCTAGATTATCGTTAATGTAAGGTTTGGGGTATTTCGTACCTAGGGATTACTAACAAGGGGTTCAAATGGCTGGAGAATAACGTAATTGTATTAAATAACTAATTACTATAACAATTTTGATGTAGAGCTGTTTATAAAATACGATCCAGTATTGACTGTTTTTTTTGTGGCCCAGTTGCTTAATTAGTCTTAGAACAACAGTTTTAGCATCTTTTAAGTATTATTAAATGCACTAAATTTAGGTATTCTCATTATTATTTATGCTAGATAACAATAATGATAGCTTTTAATATTTTCATAATATATATATTGTTACAGGTTGACATTGGCTATATAGTGTGCATTCCGAGTTCTGCAGGTTTGGCCGTCTGGGCATATGCACCCCAGCCTGTCATATAGATTGTCTTATCACGCTAGAATTATTCATATAGTCTACCTATGGGTAAGCGGTGCTGCTTTCTTTCTTAATCTAAGTGAAAAACCGTGTTGTTAAATACTAAATGAAAACCCTCAGCTTCTCCATTTCCAACCGTAATCCTAAGTCCAAACTTTTATCCCGTCTTACCATGGGAGCCCGGGAAGCCGTGGTTACTTCACTGTTTGTCGTCTGTTCTTATTGTTATCTCTTTTTTTTCGCCTCAGTGAACTTTGTTACTTCTGATTGGCTGGTATGCTGAGACTCCGTCCCCCTCTCACCTTACGCTTTGGTTACCTCGAGTATGCGCTGGGTGATTCTTCTTTTATCTTATCTTCAAGGTTTAAGGGTGGAGTAGGAGGGATCTTACTTGTGGTACTAGATTTCTCCGCTAATTAGCCGCTCAGCTGCTTGTAAGGTATTAAAATCAAATATGGTTTACTCTTTATAAGTAAAGTCGGGCTTAACCCTACTTTTCAAAACCGTTTTATTTATAATATCTTTAATAATAGTTTAAAAAGGACGAATACGAAATAAAAGACTACTAAATTTAAAGATATATAAAATAGTAATAGTAGAGCAGGTTAACGAACTAAAAGTATTATTATTATCAAAATTAATTAGGTCGTAAATATACTTATAGTGAATACGGGCTTTGATTTCACCTTTGTTAGTATAAATAACAGTAGGAATTAAATTGTTATTGAATTCCTCTACGGGGTAGTATTTAAGTATTTCAGAATTAGTACGAGCAAAATAAAATATAATCTCTTCGTAGTTCTTATAAACGACTTGGTATATTTTGTCAATTTCTTTATAGACTTCTTGAAATTTAGTATCAATTCTTTTAACAGTTTGAGAATTCTTTTCGTTACGTGCTTTATTTTTCAAATATTTCTTAGCAAAGAAGTTATTTATATACTTGCCAATAGAATCAAAACCATATTCGGCTATTTCAACTTAAATAGGTATATTGTTTTTTAATTTAATCGAATTGTTTCCACACTTTCTTGTCCGTAATATATTTTAGTACTCCAGTTTTATTCTAACTACTTTCTTCATTGCTATAATCCAAAGTTATAAAACTATGAGTAGCGCAGATAAATACGCGCTTAGAGAGCAACGATTAAATAAAAAATTTAAAAATAATTAAAAGAACAATCGAAAATAATATAAATACTCTTTTTAGAAACAAAACGAATATATTATTTATGAAAAGGGAAACATATACCAGTAACAGCGGAAGTATTATTACTAATTATATTAAAAGAATCAGAGGTAACGTTGCTGAAAGCAATTATACTAGTCAACACCGGAATAGATTATTTACAAGGAGAGCTGGTAGTAATTAGAATTAATAGTTTACATAGCGAATGATACAAAGTATTTCAAAATTCTGAAGAATTTACAGCTAGTATAGAATAATTATTAATGAATTATTTATTTGTAATTACGGCTGTAGGAGTAAGAAATACAAAATATAATGGAAAAACAGAAGAATAATTATAAACCAGAAGATTTAATTACACTACGAATTTATTTTTCAATTAGTAAATTACGGTACTTTTGGGAGGTAGCACAGCTAATTTGCAACAAATAGTACCAATATTACTCTTCGCGTTGAGAATTAATTTGGATTAGGGTAATAAAGTATTAAAATACTACTATCGATACTAACCGACCCAAAAGTGTTGATATAATATATCAGCAACGCAAAATAAAAAAAACTTTCAATACTTATTTCTTGACTAGCAACTTCCAAACTAAAAAAGGATTATAAAACTATTTTACAACGTACAATATAAGAAGGAAGTATGATTATAATTGCGGAATTAATATTTTATAATATACAGTCTTTGCAACTGTTGTAGATTCGTAAGACAAAGATATTGATAAAATGAAGTATAATTTGGTAAGATTTTCAATTAAAGAATACTATCATTACTACTCGTATAATTGCAACTACTATATAATAGAGTAATTTAAATTACTTGTAATACCAATGGTTGGGAAATCGTAGTATTGAAAGTAAGCAAAAAAGAAGAAGATATTTTTAGAAAAAGGCGCAGCCAAAAACCAGCCTGCGAAGGAATCTTTTATAGGAATTCCTTATCTTATTGCAAAGCCCACGTTATATAGAACTTTTGCACGACCGTAACTAGCATAGTGCTATACTAGTCGTGTAATGGCAGCCTTGCAGTTGT